GTACGAAGCAGATAGGTCAAAAGAAATTATATTCCACTAAAGAGTGTGTCTTCTTATCTCTCCTATACCAGGGGAATAAGGGACAAGCCGATCGATACAGTAGCTGCTGTATAGTTCTTGCAATTATCAATAGCTGATTTTTTCCCCGAGCTGGATTCCATAATGTTGGCTAATAATAACCTTCTGGATTGTGCTCCACGCATCAGTCAAACAATAGTTTATCTTGATAGAAAACAAAAGAAAAGGTATGAAAAGATTGCAAATAAAACAACGAAAAAAATATATTCAATTGATGCTTGACAGGCTGTTCGGTTTGGGCTGTGGTGGACCATTGCTGAGATTTACATTTGATGGAAACATTTATCATCGTGATCGCTGCAGAATGACAGGCGGTGCTATTAATTATACAATACAATAACAATATGTTGGTACAATAACAATAAGTAATGTTGGTATGTTAGTAACTGCATTTTAAGGAGGTGAGAGCGCACTTACTTATCCAATATTTTAGACAAAAGAACGCTATTCTTCTGTTTCACGTTCATCTGAGGATGAGACAGGTCAACAAAAAGAAGTTCGGTTTGATTTGATTTTATTTCCCCAAATCAATGTGATTCCCCCTCCCCCCACCCACCCCACCCACCCCCCGAATATTTTGAACTGGTTGACATGTCAGTGCATGAAGTTATGATCCAGTACATGTGCAGACAGACACAGGACATAATCGCTGGGTGATATGCAGCAGAAAGAGCACAGCATCTCCAGATCGCCCGAGTGCATTCACACTGCTGACCAAACGATTCTGCCCTGACTGACCCTCCTTTTGAAATTGATCCTTTTTTTTCATATAAATCAGTTTCCAAAAAAAAACGCTCAGCATATGATTTGCTCATCTAAGCATTCACTGACCCAAGCACTATTAGTTTGAGGTACAGAAAAATAAAGCAGTGGCTGATAATTTAACCTGTCCAATACTTTCCCAAGCTTATTGTGCTGACGTGTGAAGAAGTCAGAGCGCAATGTAGTTCGAAGATATAAAGGCGTTGCATTTGTTTCTACTTCAAAAATGTTTAAGAACAGCTGTCACTTTGCATCCAAGAGAATCAAAGCATTTTATTTTCAAACCCACCTTGAAACGCTTGGCGCTTGATTTAAATAATAAAGGGGTTAAATCGCGAATGCTCTCATTGCTTCAATTTGCTAGACTGGGATTCTGGAGCGAAAAAATATTTAGCAAGCGATTCACTTGCTTAAAGTGGCGAGGTTTTGGCTTTGCTCTCAAGTTTTACTGAAGTAATGTAACTCTGCTAAGGATTTTTTTAAAAATCAAGAGATTGTTTCCCCCCCCCCCACCACCACCCCCAACCAGTCCCAAACAACTCGCTTTTCTCGTAATATGAAGGGAATAGATTCGCTGGGAATACAGTATAGCTGTACTTATTGACACTTGAATACAGTAAATAGACATTTCAGATATTACTGAGCTGGTCCTTAAAGCCATGCACATTTTAAACGAGAAGGAAATGTGTTGTGGTTCAGTTTTTATCAAAGTTTTCAATTGCAATTGGTTTATTAAGGTCATTTACATTTCGATATTTACCACACTCAGTAGATCGCCATTCTAAGAGTTGATTGAATAGCTCTAATGGGAAATGAATTTCACATTCAGCAGGAAATATGAGTGCGATTTGCAACGAAGCTTCATTTTGCAATAGACCAGAAAAGAAAATAACTTAGTCTCTGAGTAACGAATGGTGCAAATTTATTTAACAAATGATTTAGTCTTGATTCACGGAACACCAACTGGTTAAACAGTTGTCGATCCACATTTTTCTGGACTTTTCCAAACAGCCCGTTTGTTCCTTAAAATATCTCACACATTTACGGTCCCCGCCATGTAGACATTTCTTTACCGCTTTGACAGTGTTGCTTAAGGTGTAAAACAAATAATGCAAAAACGATACATTTGTCAACCGTATTTATTGATTCATTGTGTCTTTCCCACATTCATTTCATGTTTCTGTAATTTGTGTTCAACGAAGCATTTTAAAGCATCATCTATTACAGAGCGTGTTTCTTGAAACGCATTTTGAAATGCAATAAAACGACAAATAAAGAAGACCCTCTCCCTTCACTTAAACATTGCACACCTTGGTGAGAGTTATAAAACACGTAGGTGAACCAGATGCAATCTTTCGTTAGTCCCCCCTGTGCATCACGTTTTATTGCACGGTGATAAGGCATCGTATGTATTTGAAGTACATTACTGTTGCATTGGGGCGCGCTGAATGAAGCAACGTTCATATCATAAAGTTCAACAAAATGTTGCTATCGTCAAAAGATTGTAATGCTGAGGGGAAAACAGTGCGTTGTGATAGTCCCGGTGCTGACGCAAAGGCGTATCCACTGCCAGGTCCCTCTCCCCACCCCCCCACCACCCCCACATCCACCCAACAGGCGGGTTTGTAAACAGCTGCTGTGCTGTTGCAGCAAATGGGTTGAAGTATTTTGCAATTTTCTCTGGATGATGAAAACAAGAAATGAGGGAAAATGAGAAAGGCAGCGAGCTGGGGTGGGGGGGGGTGGGGGGGCGGGGGGGGGGTGGGTGTTGGGGGAGGGAGATGGATTTCAAAAGTCTAAGAGACGTGATGGGAGACTTAAGAAATAAAGGAAATACCAAAGTGATTCTTGTGTGTGGATAGAGAGGGAGAGGAGGGAGAGAGAGAGAGAGAGAGAGCGGTGCTGATGTTTGAGTACTTTGTGAAACAGTAACTGTCTGGTACATCCTAGCGGCGGCTCTCTGCAGTGTTGCTCCGCCGCTGCCGAGCTGTGCCGAGCAGCTCCCAACTTGTTGGCTCAGTCACAGTCCTCACACACACACACACACATATACACATGTACACACCACATACATACACACACTCAGACACGCAAGGACGGACGCTCGTTAGGTTTTTACACCGACAATCTCTTCTACACTGTTTTGGGGGTGTGGGGGGAGAAACCTGTAAGTGCATCCCTCAGATGGCCGACAATTTTACTAAGGGCTAAATCATCATATGATTTATATATACGTATATACTGTATATAAAACACTGTTGTTGTAGTGGTTGAAAGATGTTGGTTTGTTTGCCCATCGTTTGCTCTTCCCCCCCCCCCCCCCCCCCACCCTCTGCTTTCTTACACTCGGCAGTAGGGAAAGCTATCGATTCGATGGAAAACCCTTCAGCAAAGCCGGGCACAGGGCGCCTGGGAGCCGGGCACAGGAGGACGTGACTCGGGGCGCTTCTCCTCGTATTAAGGATGGCCTCTCGCTCTGCTCTCTCGCTTTCGAGTCCCTGTCGCCTTCTCTGTCTCTTGATCGCAAACACACAGGGCGACAGCACACACACACACTACACTACACCACACACACACACTACACTACACACACACACACACACTACACACACACACACACACACTCTACACTACACACACACACACACCACACTACACTACACACACACACACAGGAGAGAAGAGAGAAAAGTTTTTTTTTGTTTTAAAACAAACCTGGTTTCTACCACCAGAACGGAAATAGCCACCCAAGATTTGAACAGAATACATCCACCCACACACACACACACACACACATATATATATAGAGAGAGAGAGCGAGAAACAAATGCACGCACCACACTCGCAATGTAAACATTATATGTCAATATTATTTTTATAGCAGATTCGTAGAATAAACCTACCCACGTATACAGCAGACAAATTCATTCACGGGAGACACGCACATGTACACGCACATTGGAGAGGGAGAAACTCTCACGCACACAGCAATTCACAAACACATATAGAAACTCACACAACGCGCACACATCCAACTGTAAACACAGTGTAAACACCGTACAATCAATACGCGGGATATATGTAAATGAAGGAGAAGGGAGGAAGGAGACAGAGGGAGAAGGAAGGGTGGGAGAGGGAGAGGGAGAGAGAAAAAAAGGAATATACGACTTTGCAAACGAGAAAGAGAGGAGAGGAGGAGAGGTGAGGTGAGGAGGGGAGGGGAGGGGAGGGGAGGAAACACACTGCACTCCTTCTGCAGAGAGATCTCAAACTGAATCCTAACAAAGTATGTCAACAATGTTAGTCTCGGGCCGCCCCACACTCACACTCACACACTCACACACACTCACACACATGGAGGGAGAGGGGACGCGCTGCCTGCGAGGCGCCCGGCGGCTAATTGATGAGTCAGTCGGTCGGTCGGGGCGGGGTGGCGGGGGGTGGGGGGGGGATGGCTGAGGGTGGGTGGGGGGTGGCTGCTCGGGCGGGTGTGTGGGGGGTGGCTGCTGTGGGTGGGGGGTGGGTGGGGGGTGGCTGCTCGGGGTGGGTGGGTGGGTGGGGGGTGGCTGCTGGGGGGGGGTGGGTGGGGGTGGCTGCTGGGGGTGGGTGGGTGGGGGGTGGGTGGGGGGTGGCTGCTGTGGGTGGGTGGGTGGGGGGTGGCTGCTGTGGGTGGGGGGTGGGTGGGGGGTGGCTGCTCGGGGTGGTGGGTGGGTGGGGGGTGGCTGCTGGGGTGGGGGGGGTGGGGGGTGGCTGCTGGGGTGGGTGGGTGGGGGGTGGCTGCTGGGGTGGGTGGGTGGTGGGTGGGTGGGGTGGCTGCTGGGGGTGGGTGGGTGCTGTGGGGGTGGCTGCTGGGGGTGGGTGGGTGGTGGGTGGGGGTGGCTGCTGGGGGTGGGTGGGGGGGTGGGTGGGTGGGGGGTGGCTGCTGGGGGTGGGTGGGGGGCGGGCGTGAGGGGTATTTTGCTCCTCGCCTGTGATTTGAATAATCTCCAAGTGTCCCCCCCTCTGGAGAGCAGCCAATCCGCTGTCAGGAGCGGCGATGATTAATCGCAATGCATTATTGATAATCATAATTATATGGTGACATGCGCACTCCACGGCCCCGCAGCTAATTTCCGTAATTTTGCAACTCGGGGTATTTGTGAAATTTTTTTTTTTTTTAT